TAATTCTTTAATTCATTCCATTAAATAAATTAAAATGGAAACATCCATATATTAAAGACTATATTCTGATGTGTTTGCATCAGGAAAATACAATAGGAGTTGTTTTGCCCTACTTGTCATAAATCTGTGATTTGGTGTTTGATTAGAATAATCTTGCATTTGGTTATGTCTGTCAAGTAACTAATTTCCAATAAAATATTTGGTTTTGGCCAGTAGTTGACCAAAAAACCTAAGCTAAAAAATATTAAGATAATTAATTTTGAACAAATAATACTGATTTGAGATGCATAACTTTTTAATGCCTATTCAGAGCTTGATGCCAGAATCATATGAAAGTATGGGCAAAACTGAGCCAGATTAGCAAATTTCAGCTTTCTAGTATGTCCAGAAATGAGAATATTGCCTTTTAAAAACCCTAACAAAATATTGCTGCTCTTCGCGAGTTTGAAAAAGGGGTTTGTCTTCAAAGTTTAAAAGTGCCATAACTTTGGAATGCTTGGGAATTTTTTTAAAATGAAACTTTGGGATTTTTTATAATACCCCTTAAAGTATATTTGGTTAAAATTTCAGCAAAATCCAAGACGGTCACTGTGGAGCCCCTGGTTGAGTTGACATGAAATAACTCTATTACTTATTTACATATTAATATCAGAGCTAAACACTTAAGTATGTAGCCAGTAGCCTTGTCTTTAGGTTAATGTGTTTGACAGTCATGTTTATTTAGAACATTGTCTGCGAGCACTATGAGGCATATGGGAAATTCCACAATTCAAATATTAACTTCCTTGTATGTACACACTATGAAATTATTATGCGGCTTATGGATGTAATTTATCTACTGCTGTAAAGTGAATTTAGCTTCACCAGGTTTTCCAGGTTTGTTTTTATTGAGTATACTTGATTGATGACTAATAGTAGATGATATAAATGAGAATGAAGGCAGGTCTCTAACACTCCCATGATGATGATTCTGTTCATTGACTACTAAGTCCACTATCTAACAAAAGATCTAGGCCTACTGTAAACCATTTTTTATTTAAAAAAAATAAAAACCTCACTTTATATTTTACTCTAGCCTCAATTTGTTCTTATTTTGTTCTTAATGTTTAATAAATATACATGATATAATAGTGCCATATTTAGAAAAAAAAACTAGTAATATAATATTAACAATTAAATACATCAATCCATATTGGCTATAATTCTATCAGATAGATATGTATACATGTTAGGTATATAATCAGCAAGTAAAATACAGTAGTTTCAGATTATCATGTTCATCTGATACAACATTAGATGAGATGATGATGTGATAGTGATGATAAAGGTGGTGAGGATAGATGTTGATAATGATGAAGGTGACGACAAATGATGTAGATGGTGATGTAAATGATGATACGTATACAAATAATACTGATTTGAGATGCATAACTTTTTAATGCCTATTCAGAGCTTGATGCCAGAATCAGAAAGTATGGGCAAAACTGAGCCGGATTAGCAAATTTCAGCTTTCTAGTATGTCCAGAAATGAGAATATTGCCTTTCAAAAACCCTAACAAAATATTGCTGCTCTTCGCGAGTCTGAAAAAAGGGGTTTGTCTTCAAAATTTAAAAGTGCCATAAATTTGGAATGCTTGGGAATTTTTTTTAAATGAAAATTTTGGGATTTTTTATAATACCCCTTAAAGTATATTTGGTTAAAATTTCAGCAAAATCCAAGACGGTCACTGTGGAGCCCCTGGTTGAGTTGACATGAAATAACTCTATTACTTATTTACATATTAATATCAGAGCTAAACACTTAAGTATGTAGTCAGTAGCCTATTATTTAGAGGTTAACTTTTGTTAACCCTGTTTATTTAGAACATTGTCTGCGAGCACTATGAGGCATATGGGAATTCCACAATTCAAATATTAACTTCCTTGTATGTAGACACTATGAAATTATTATGCGACTTATGGATGTAATTTATCTACTGCTGTAAAGTGAATTTAGCTTCACCAGGTTTTCCAGGTTTGTTTTTATTGAGTATACTTGATTGATGACTAATAGTAGATGATATAAATGAGAATGAAGGCCATGATGATGATTCTGTTCATTGACTACTAAGTCCACTATCTAACAAAAGATCTAGGCCTACTGTAAACCATGGATGTATAAACAGGGAGTTGCAACTCCCTGAATATACTAGCCTATCACAGTGTCTACTGTCTAGGCCTATATTATTCACAAGGTACAGTGAGATTGTAACCACCAGAGTTCTCAAATCTATTTCTCTATGCTTCAAAATTTCAATAGTAAATGGGAAATTTCCATGACATTATTCACTGACACTGTGTGGTTTTTTTTTCAGAGTGCAAAATATTATGTTTAATAATACACAACTACAAAATTACTCTTTTCGAGATCACTGTTGTATTGTCTATACTAATTTATTATCAAGTGCATTATAGTGAATGAGAAAAAAATGTTGAAATCATTTGCATATAAACACCCATTGTCACTAGTTACTCGATGAGTTCATATCATCATCATAATTGGTGTCGGTATTATTCCACCTAGAAAGCTAATTTTATATATCTACTTTTTAATTTGGCCTGATATTTAAATTTATATACTGTATAAGTTATGAGTTGTTATCAGCTATATAAAAATCAATACATTAGGTATCTCAATTGCTTTGACTCATTTCATTCACAATTTCCTGCTACTTTCAGGAACGCCCTCATTCAACATATCGAGAGGCATTACTTCGAACTGTTCAAACTTAAATCAAGGTAAGAACTTAATACTAGAAATTGGAAATTGCAAGTGAAGTGCTGTGAAGTACAACTGCATATAAATGTTCTTCGAACAAAATTATTTATGCAAGTCAAGTGAAAATAATGAATAATAAAAATATAACAAATAATATGAGACACGACCCATTGTCTACTAGAACAGCGTTGGTACCATGGGATGCCAGTCAATTCGAGCAGATGTCAGTTTGAGCAGATGGCAGTTCGAGCGGATGGCAGTTCGAGCGGATGCATTTAGTGTGAACTATAACAAGGGCGAATTTATCGTCGCCGTATTCTTGTATTTGTTTGTTTTAAATGCAAAAAAATGCTCTGATTACTATGGTTCTGAAAGGTTTTTAATACTTTTTGATAATTACTGTTTGAATTAGTCTTGGCAACTCCGACTACCAAGATGGCCGCTAACAAGTTAAAACTAAAATAGAATTATGCACTTTTCATCTTAAAAAAGAAGAAAGTGTATGTTTTACTAGAGTGCACGAGAAGCACACACACAAGACGAGTGACCATTATTGTTTTCATGGTAAACAAAGTGGGGTGGCTAGCCACCCTATTAACCACCCCCTTCCCCTTCCCCAGATCCGCCACTGGTTGGGGTTCTGAATTTTGAAAAAGCAAATTATATTTGTAATTGAGTTACAGTGCTACTCACTTATCTATTCTGGAACTGTTGTGTGCCCCTTTCCCCTTTGAAAATGTCAAATTTTTAGCTCAAATTATATTTGTAATTGAGTTAATGCTACTCACTTATCTATTCTGGAACTGTTGTGTGTCCCCTTCCCCTTTGAAAATGTCAAATTTTTAGCTAAAAAATAGGAAATTTTGAAGTAATTCGTATATAACTTGCACAGGTTGTTGTTCGCACAAGTGGATCTTCTTCCGCTCAAACTAGCTACCGCTTGAAAAAAATTTCGCTCGAATCCGCTCGAATTGGCCTTCGCTCGAAGTGGTATCCGCTCGAATTGACTGGTTCTCGTCCGCGCATAGCGGTGCTATACGATCTTTGCTCGTACCGCCAAAGAGTATACTCTTTGGTACCGGGTATGCCAGTCTACAACAAGCGTCGCCAAAATATAATAATTAGCACACTGAAATAGGCTAGTAAATAAGTTTAACTGGGTTCGTAAATAATATTGGCCTCAAAATATTGTGGCTGAGACATGGGCCGATTAAACGTAGATATAGGAAACCTAGAAATATAGTAAAAAACGCTGAATAGTAATACAGTACTCCAGCGTCGCGACATGCGGACGTTGGTACGAGTAGGTTAGTCTACAAACGTCGCCTAAAGTAATTGATTTTCCCGGCAGAACGAAAGAAGGAAACTCCGCTTTTCAGTTGCCTTAGGCCCTTGTTTTTTGACAAACAATGACCTTTCAGAGGTCAAATTGCTGTCAAGAATATGAATTGGCTGCTTCGCAGCAAAAATTGGCTGTTTCGCAGCAATTATTATAAAGTAAAGTCACCTGATAAAACTAAATGTTAAATTTCCTTAAACATATAAATATTGTACTGTTTATGATATACTAAGCCTATATTTACTTTCTTTATTATTACTATTTTAATTCTTTTTATAATTTTTGTATGTTTTGATTAAATTTAAATAATTTTCTTTAGCTGGCCTTCAAACATTTTAACAATTGATGTGATATTTCTTCAGTTTCAACTTCTAAAATTTTTATCACCCTAAATAATGATCTATTTATTTTATTACTTTTGCTGACATTGTGGTACCTTCTCTCTCAAAGGATTTTGAACATTTATTATATGTGAACAATATAAAAGAAATAACAGCAGCACTTTTAATATATGATTTATTCTTAGTTTTCGTCCACACAGTGGACTTCATTAGGAGACTGTACAAAAGACATTTCAATCACAATATTATTGTGTATTTGCAAGTATTTATTTTCTTTTTTACTAATGATTTAAATAACGAAGCCGACTGTCATGTTGGTTTTTGTATTGTTTTGTATGTTCAAATAATATTGTTATATACCATATTAATTTAATCTAATGTATTACAATATCAATACCCAATCAGATATAATTCAAACAAATTCAAACAAAAATTTAATTAACACATTTGAACATTTAAACCATTGCAAAAAAAACAAATGATTTATAACCAATAGTAACTATTTTTCTTTGAATTACCATAAATTCTTGTGTACAAAATTTATTAGTGGGACATGGTCCTTACAACAAAGCTAACTGGTCATTTAATAAAATATGAATATTCACATATGCATTATGTAAAAAGGAAAGCAGTTAACTATTAATATTTATACATATTAGTTTAAAAGGGATGTAATATAACTATGTTGTCTTTATAGATGTCGCAGGCTGTATTCAAAGCATTGCAGTTTATGGATAAAAAAGATCTTGAGTGTGCCATCTGCCTCAACAGGTTTCACCAACCAAAGACACTGAAATGCATGCACACCTATTGCCTACAGTGTATCCAGAAATGGGTGGAAACTCATGGAAAGATGAAATGCCCCACATGTGCACAAGAACATGACCTAACAAGGTATGACTTGAAAGAGCTGGCGTCAAATACAATGATAATTCAACTACTAGAATATGTTGTGAAAACTGAGGATCAAAAACCAAGTAAATGTTCTTGCTGTGACATTAATCCACCAGAATACCACTGCCAGACATGTCAACTGTATCTATGTGGAGGTCTATGTATCAAACAACACCATATAATACCGTCATTGAGAAACCATTCACTTTACACACTAGACAAGAAGGAACAAGGGAGAATTTCAGACAAACAAAGCAAATGCAGAGTACATTGCAATAACTTACTGGAATTTTTCTGCTCCACTTGCAACAAATCAGCATGTAAGCATTGTGAACATATTCTTCGGTGTTACCAAAAACAACATAAAGTGATTCCAATGTCAACTGCTATAAATGAGTTTAACAATGATGCCACTGAAATTGTCAAGTTAGCACATGAAATTGAAAGTAAATTAAAAGAAAAACTTGAATATGTAACTAAATATAGATCAGAAATTGATTCCCAACAAAACTTCTGTAGAACAGCCATCGAAATTCAGGAAAAAAAACTTATTAACACAGTTACAGAGAAAAGCAAAGAGTTAATTTCAGATGTAGAAGCGATATACAAAGAAGAAAAAGAAGACATTGATAGTAAAGTTAACGATATTGATTTGGAGATGTCTACAGTAAATAATCTGATGGCCTTAATTAATAGAAATTTGAACAAACCAGAAGAAACAGAAACTCTTCAACTATGCAAGACAACTATCAACACTGTCAGAGAAAAGGTCCTACGAAAAGATTTTCATCAATCATTGAAAAAAAGAAATATTACACCAAATTTCATTCCATTTACATACTTGGATGAGTTGATGGTTTTAGAGGGCATTGGTAAAATCACAACTGTTGATAGCATGTTATACAAGGTTGCTCAAGATGATGAAGCTCTTACTGTAACTAAAGAACAACCATTTGTAGTTAAAGTTTCAAGTCCAACAGAGAGTGATGCTTGTCAATTAGCAGCAACTCTAATTAACCCATCAGGACAAAAATATGGAGAGTACAAAATAACAGGTAGATGCAATATAGAAGGCAACTGGCAAATGAAGATAACTACTGGAGCTGCACACATCAAAGGATCTCCAGTGAATATCAAAGTGGAATCACAGGGACTTGTTTATACCATTGGTAACATATCAGATTATAAAGAAAATCAAAAAGAAAGTTATGTGTCAGATTTAGTGTTAGATACAGATGGATGCATATTAGTATCAAGCTTCAGTAAATATATATTAAAGTTCAATCAATCAGGTTCATTTGTTGATGGGCTACAGGTGCCACAAGATGTGGACATAAATAGAATGCATCTAATGTTTGATGGTCACATGGTGTTCAGTGATCACAAAAATAAATGTGTTGTAATGTGTGATGATACATTCCAAGAAATCATTTCTTTTGGTAAAGCAGTATTGAAATACCCTGATGGTTTGACAGTAAACAATGAAACTAGAATACTGTATGTAGCAGATCGTGACACTCATTGTGTGTTCAAATTCAATGTTGATGATGGTAGACAGCTGGGTAAGATAGGTTCAAAGGGAAGTAAAGTAGGTCAAATGAATACACCAGATGATGTCACTTTAACGAAGGAAGGTTATGTGATTGTTGCTGACCGTAAAAATAACAGAATACAAATGTTTGATGCAAATGATAAATTTATGAGAATTCTTGTAGGCTGTGGTGAGGAAGATGGTAAAGTTATTAGTCCTCATGGTGTAATCATTGATATGGATGAAAATATAATAGTATCAAGTGATCATAAACTACAATTATTTAATAGAAGTAGTGTCTTCATAAAACGAATAGATCATAAAGATGATGGATTAGATATCCCAAATGGAATCACAGTAATTTCCAATAAACCTAGAAGGGTAGCAGTAGCAAACCACAAACCAAACAATGTTAAATTTTATAACTATTAAAAAGACATTGAAATTCATGACTTATTAGCTGCATGCTTGGACAATCAACAGTAATAATATAATTTATCTATTTTAATTTACATTATTAATGCATGATTGGCTATAAATTCCATCAGATAGTAATTTGTCATTATAGAAGAACAATTGTTTATGTACATATAAACTAGTTTGGTGTTTGGTGATTGCCTACTCCCTAGGAGGTAACCTTGTGCTTTGTAAACTGTGTTATATAAATGACAATCATTGTTAATTGTAAAAAAAAAACATGTGTAATAAATATTTTAAAAAATTATGACAATTAGACTGCTGGGTAAGATAGGTTCAATAGGTTGTAAATTGTTCAAATTAATTATCGAAATGATGTCAATTTAACTTTAGGAAGGTAATATGTGATTGTATCAAAATATTACTTAATAAGTTATTAAGTATATTATTGGTAATTATAATACAAAGGTATATTAAATGCATTAATCTAACCTATGATGATATTAATGTTGATGATATTGCATACGATTTTGACGAAAATATTAATGATAATTATAATATTTTTAATGTGATGTTGTCAATTGTTATGATTACAAAATGTCAAAAGTGGTTCACTGTATTTTGTGCCAATACTATTCAGTATATACACATTGTTTGTACCTTAAAGTAATTTGGAACAAAGTTAGACAATGAATGCGCATTATATGCTTTGGGTGTTATAATGTAATAATCCATACAGATAATATGCAATTATGGCCGATGTAGCTCTAAGTAACTGGAATGTTGAGAGAGAGTCAGGCATAAGGACGGAAATTGGGATTTAGGGATTTATGCTAATAAAGCAATAATTTTGATAGAGTTGTATGGAAAATTAACAGTAGAGTGATGTTGCAATCACGCTATACTAAACCAATTGACGATACTATGCTGTATGATGTACCAATAGAGTTGCATGACCTCACTGCCCATTGACAGTAATATCGCTTACCAAGCCAATCAGTAACAAACATAATTAGTGTTGGTATAATGGCATTGTTGAATCTTGGTTGAATTTACTAGTATTACAAAGGATATTTGCATGGTTATTTAGACTAAACTGATAGACATTTCAGTCACAATATTATTGTGTATTTGCAAGTAATCATTAGGATTTCTTTATTAAACGACTTTTATTGTGGTTCATTAATGGAATAAATTTGGAAAGATACATACAGTATACTCAATTATTTAACATTTGTGGCAAAATCATGATGATGATGGTCATGAGAATTTGAAAAATGACGATGACAGTGGCGT